ACTTTTATATTTTCAAAGCTAACAACAGCAAAATTCATTTTGTAAATAAGCTCTGAAGGACCCAGGAAGACCTTAGTCCTGCTGGGTACATGCATCTGAGCCCAGATATAGAATCAGAACTTTAACTTACTCTGTCCTGCCTTTCTCTGGAGCTTTTGTGTCTCTCAGGTCTCCCTCTGAAATACTGTATGAGTAAACAGGTCTCCTCACAAAATGGCTTTGATGTTACCATAGAGTGAAGTTTTTCTTAAAGACTACAAATGATAGATCTGTAGGAGACAAAGAGGTTGGTTCTTGCATGGGTGTTTCAATCAGTTGTTCTGTGTGATTTGTACATGAAAATGTTATCAAGATAGTTAAAATTTGGAAGGCAGTTAGGAAGAAAAATAGTTATCAGAGCTTGATCAATTTGTATGCTTTTTGTAATTGTGAACTCAGTTATTACTATGCTTAGTTTTTTTATTGTGGAGGAGGATTTGCCAAGGCTGAAAAAGAAATTAATCCAACTTTCTCATTAAAACATACTTTGAAGAAGATCATTGACCGTGCGCTGACCATTCATTGACATGCCAATGACTTTCTCATCATTTTTCTTCACATTAACAAAATAGATCTGTCTGAAGACCCACATGAATGTTCACAATGCACATGTTACTAGGCTGTCTACTGAAAATGTTACTTTCATTCTTGTAAAATATGAAGAGATTAAACTCTTCCTGACATGCTAAAAAATACTCTGTCTTCAAAAATATTCATAGTAAAAGCAGATATAATGCATAAAAATGTTCTTGTTGTTACTTTTTATATATGTAATTCTTGCCATTGCTGGACAGATGATGCTATATGACTGAATCAGAAACTGTGGAGAACAAGCTTTTCTCAGTAACTCATAAAACATTAGAAGTTTCAGAGCACCTGAAATAGTGAAAAAGATTCACTGAATGCAAATGACAGCTTTCATCTTCCTTTATGAAGCACATGCTCATGAATATATACATTTTTGCATATATAGAAGCTCAAATATATCTCCCTTCCAATGAATGAAGGAAAAAGGAAATTATGTATTCAGAATTAGTTAGAAGTTTGCTTTTTTGTTGTTGTTGTTGAATTTTCCAGTTTAATTGAAGTTCACTTCATGAGTTGGAACATTTCTTAGAGGCTGCAAGATTTGAGAAGGGGGCACTGTTATCCCCATCGTCTTCCTTCTAAAGGTTTTGGGCTATTTTAAATACCAGTGTTGCTTTTGGTGATATTAACAGCCTTTTGGCAGTTCTGTACTGTTTGTCTGCACAATCTGTCCATCTAAAGTAGCAGAGCATGAGAAGCTGATCTCCTGAGGGAACTCCAACAATATCGACAGGCTTGATTGACATAAGGCCAGTCTCTCTCTTTCACCTCCACTGAACTCTTAGAGTAAATTCAAGGCCTGACTGAAGAGAGATAGAGGTTTAGCCATTGACTTCCATGGGAACAGAATTTAAACACTAAATTTTAACTACTGCCCTCTCCTAAGGCAGTCCTGAGTATCTTGGCAAATGCTGTTTAGAAGCACTATCAATTTGATCCCGCTTCCTTCTCAGGACTCAAAGCCAAGTTCAGGGCTATTTATGTCTTACTAACTAGGGCAGGCTTTGGATGGGAACTACAGCAAGCATTTAAATCTTCTCCTTGAAAAATGGGTTATGGCTTAATGAACCTTGTTCAGGTTACAGGTGTTATTCATTCTTGATATTTGTGTTTGTTACTGTCAGGTAGAAGTCAAAGAAAGAGCGGTGCCTTCTATCTTGAAGAGTTTATCAGGCTGGAATAGCCTGAAATTTGTTTCAAGTGAATCAATTCTCACTTTTCTGACAGGAAAATAGCAACAGTAGATTTTCCAGATATGCTTCAAAATACCACATATGCTCAAAACTTAGAGGATGTCAAGAACCATATAAAAAGATACGCTTATCGCTTCAAAATGTGAACATCTACAGATATACAAATTACATTTTCTGTTAAGCCAGCAGTACAAAAGGTGAGAAATAAGGCAGGGGCATAGGCATTTTTTTTTCAGTCAGTGTGTTCATACAGAGGAAAAGGAGAAAAGTAAAAATGCAGTCCATAAATTGAAGAGTATGTGTGAAATGGAAAAGAAAAAACAGGAAAGTTTAAAATATTCCCAATTTTCCTTCCTCTCCTTCGGAAGTATTTGGGGGTAAAATATACCACTTCTACTGCAATCTATCATTATTATTCATCTAATATTGATATCATTCTACTAGTTCCTAAATATTTTCTTTTCAAATTGATAACCATAGTAGCTAATTGTGATCTTTTTCTCGTCTGAAGTAAATTTATTTTTGGAAATTTGGAAATTTAATGAAACCGTTAAAAAGAATTCTACTTAGAAATAGTTTTACTCACATGGTGGAATGGGATGTGCTCTTTATAGTGACTGTTACACTCTACCTTGTGTCCTGAAAGAAGAGATTATTAATTTGATTTTTTTTATATATTTTGAGCTTGGTAGTTGTTTCCAGGTGTAAACCAATACAGACTTATTAAGACAATTTTCTGTCTTTCTTGATGCTACAATGCCTGTGTTTAGGAAAAACAAACAAACTCCCCAAAACCAAAAACTAAAACCCTCAACCCAAAACCATCTTATCTGGGTTCTATCTTCCTGTCAAAATATTTTGGTTTGAACTTTTTGTCTCTTTTAATGTTGATCAACACAGACTAACTTTTTCCACAGAATTCCCCTCAGTTTGCTCTAGAGGAGTATAACCTCCCATGCAGAAACTTGCCCATGCAGAGCATGGTACCACTGTCTCTTCCACCTTCTTTCCAAACTCCTGAAGAGTCTTTAAAATGTTTTTCAAATTTTTTCTAGATGGGGCTAATAAAGTTGTTTGGCAGTTCTATTAAATCTCGATCAACTTTAGGAATCCGCTAATTAACAAATATGAGGTTGTCAGATGGTAATGCTGGTTAGTGAGAATTCCGGAAATGGCAACAACTTCCTATTTGTGGTTGGCTAATATATAGAGAGAATGTGTAGTAAAATATGTGATTTCCTAGCTTGTTTAACCACATCACAGTATATGGGCTAATACCACATGTGTACATTAGCAGATGATCATGGCATGTATAAATATCCAATGTGCAGATGGTTTTTACATGGTCCTTCTAATGGCATTATATGTTGCTTGGTAGTTCTTCAGTGCTTAAAACAAAAAACTTTTGAACCTTCAGCTGTGATGTTTAATTGGTCTTTCTTTAATGCTGGCTAAGCACCTGCTCCTCCCTCACAGTCACATCAAAATGAACTCTGCATAACCACTCTGAAATCGTGCAGCATCGTGCTGTGGAGTAAAACTGGTAAAAGTGCGGGGCAATCGGCCCTGTAAGATCTCGTCATCTGCAGAAAAAATCTCCGTAGCCACCTGGATGCTTTTAAACCTTCATTATTTTAAATTTAGGATGATTGGTTGAGCATTGCTTCTACCAAAATCTGATACAATAATCAAAGTCGGAGGTGGGGAAAGACCTCTGGGGTCACAGAGTCAAGCTTTCTGCCAATAATGGATTGTTCCCTGCAGTTCAGTTTCTAGTGACCTTGGAAATTACTAGCCTGATAAAATGGTAATGAAAAAACAAAGCTGTTATAGCTTCAGAAGTAGCCAAAGTGATGCTGTTCCAATGAAAAATTGGTTTTTTGATGTGAGATTCTCTACATACATGGCTTCTTGGTTGCAGTTTTTGGGTGATCACAAATCTATGCTTTCTGACCCATTTTGAACTGTCTGTAATTAGGTTGGGGAGATTAGCTTGTTTTAATACTACATGAATTTATCCCTTAACCAAATCATAATTTTTATTACAAATACATAAGTCAACAACTTAATTAAACCCCCTACCACAATGTTTTCTTCATATCTCTGCAGTTGTATTCTTTCAACATTTCTAGCCTCTCAGAAACAGGAAATGAGGAGGAAAAAAACAGATTTCTTGGTTTTTTCCATCAAACCCCCTGGTTAATTAGTTACAGACTTATCCTGCCTGGGAACCCAAAAATTCCTGAAAAGATTCAGAGGTTACACATCAGTTTTAGATTTCTTTCAACCAACCTGATATTGGTTTGCTTCTCTGTTGACATAGGCAACAAAGGACAACCGTCACATACACCTAACGAAGTGGGTAGAATTTGACCCCTTTTCTAGGGATGAAGCAGCAACGACAAGCTACCCACCAGCATGCTAATTACACTAAAAAAATATTTTAGGAGGCTGTTATAAACTGGATGGATGGGAAAAGATCCCAAGACACCAAGTTCCCTTCCTGTTGTACCCATTTGATGTGTGGTGATTTCTTCACTACAGGGCCCTGTTGTGGGCTGCCTTTTTGGGTGTGCAGCACTTTCTTTCTCAGGTTCCCCTCACCTCCCTATTGTATTCACACACTTCAGATCTCACTTGGAGAGGAAAAAGGTTTCCTCAGCTGCCAACTGCCAACTTATTTAAAAGAGGAGTTAAAAGGAAAAGAAAGCTAATTGGATTGTGCTTGGCAAAAGTCTCTATTCTGTTCTGTTTATTCAAATTTTTAAAGGTTTGGGTGCTGAGAAACACTGAAATAGTGAGAACACTTATTCCTTAAACAGGTTCTTGCAAAGCTTTTACAATAAAAACAGAAAGCTGCTTTAGTAAAGCGGTGTTTATCCTTGCACTAATGCTGGTCATGAATACGTGTCTAACTTAGCTGGAACTAATGCCTGACTATACTATTCCACTACAGCAATTTACCATTTTGCGTAGGCTGATTATTTTTTCAACAATATTTGCTAAATTCTTTTAAGGGCTGCCAGTATATATTTTTTGAAGCTTAGTTAATAAGAACAGCTGCCACTGGAGTCAAGGCTAAAAGAGGCAAAAAATATCTGCAGAAGGCAAGATTTTACTTCAAAAGATCAGTATTACAAAGCACTACTGTTGCTGGTATAATCACTTTCTTTGGGGGGGATGCTAATACAGACTGGATTTCTTGTCTTCACAGCCCCCACTGAGCCTTTGCTGTGCAAATTTGCTGATGGAGGGCAAAAGAAGCGCCAGAATCAAAGCAAATACACACAGAATGGAAGGCCGTGGCCCAGAGAAGGAGAGGTAAGTGCCACGCGGCAATTATTTTCCTGGGGTTTGGCAGAAGTCAGCTACAGACCTGGAGGTCTACCTTTCAGGGCTACGAAGAAATCAGATTGCACACCAAATACAACAGTTTCATACAGAAAAAGCTTTGTAAGCAGTGGGGAGATGAAGGTTTATGATAATGTGTGGAGTGTAAGTTACAGGAAAGGAAAATTTCCAAGTTTGATGTGCAACTGTGCACAGCCTGGTCCCACCATGAGCGCTCTGTCTACAGCCGGACCTGAGCCGAGTATTCTCTTACTGGTGTGCCAATCAGCACCTGTGGTGTACCTTTTACAAATCAAATCAATTTACACTGAAGCAAATGAACAGTGTTATTTTCTCCGTCTAGTTCCTGGTGATAAAAGATTATTAGGAAATAGGTGGGCTGTTCCAAAAAGGAGAGATGTACTTACACATCCACATGTAGGGTCCATGTAAAAGTTTTTTGCAAGCTTATTTGGGCTGAGCTCTTCATTCTGTTCAAGACTAAATGGTTTACAATAGTCTCAGCTACATCATATGTACAAAGTTTTAAAATAATCTAGTAGTTGCTTTCTGGTATGCTGCAAATAGTCTGTTACTGGAGTTTCTTTTCTGTGTTCTTGTATGTGAAGTGTCCCCAAATACGAGTGAAAGAGGGAAGAAAATTATTTAACTCTTCAGGAGTTTGTTTACTACTTTGGAATTTAATTATAGAATAAAGATAAATAAGGTAGACCTGGTCATAGTCCCTTCTTATACATGGTGATAGCTATGAAGGCTGAAGGACTTACAAGTATTTCTATCCTAAACAACTATTCTTTGTATTTATGATTGAGACTTTAAGGAAAAAAAGTATATCGCTCAATTGTGACCCACAAGAATACAAGCTGGTGGGGGGGAATTCTGGTTGGTTTGTTTGTTTATTTGTTTATTTGTGGGGTTTTTGGTGGGTTTTGCTTCAATTTTACAAGGAAATTAAAAAATATAATTGGTATTTCTAAGTTATATGAGGATTACTAGATGATTTCTGCTTTTTTGTAATGACTTGATTATGCTAGCTGATAGTTTTCAGACCATTAGTTTATGACATACATACCCTAACACAATTGATGAGCTCCTAAAACAAACAGAAAGGCTGTTTGAAAGTGTACAAATTTCTCCCACCACCAAGGTGGTTATTGTACCCTGTTCCAACGGCAATGATCCATTTTTAGCTCCGTGGGCTGAAAATCTCAGTGCAGCAGACACGTTTGCTCTAGGAGATTGCAGAAGTCTCCAGAGGTTCATTGCAGTCTCTTGTGCTGTATGTTTCAAGAAATGGAGATGTCTTCTCAGGAGCCGTTATGGTTTGTCACATTAAGGGTCTGCTGAGGAACAAGTGACCAAGAAGTACTTCAAGCAGGAGACTCAGGTCAGGGTAAACAGAGCTTGAAAAAACAAAGGTATATATATAGGAGACAATAATAAACCCTCAATAAGGTTAACAATCCATATTTTAAAGACCTCTAAATCCCTGTTTAAACAGTAAATACCATCATAGCTATTATCTCCAGTCTTCTCTTTTTCCTTCAGTTCAAATCAATGAAAAAAGAGAATATAAAGTTAAAGCCAGCAAGCCACCATTATGCCTGTGGCCTCTAGGCATCAGCTTATTATATCCTGCATAGTTCATTTGCTGCTAGTGGAGTGTTACCTGTTAAGCACAGTAATATCATGGTGAGCTAGAGGCAAGGTGTGGTTGGTGTGCTTATAGTACCAACACTTAAAAATTAATTTTCAGTACTGGGAGATGTCATTCCTTATTGTTGATCACAGCCAACTACAGAGCTGTTGTCATGGTATAATGTACAAATGTGGAAAAATTGTAAAGATACAAACTCAGAAATATTTCAGACTAGATTTTCTCTGTTAACTAACATCTGGTTAATACTTTGTTGCACATTAGATATTTACTACTTAGAGTGTCAAAGACAAGGATACATATTCTTTTTTAGGGTTACTAATTTCTTGGATTTCTTCCCCACTGTTGTTAATTTTCATATCTCCAATGTGAAATTTTTTGTATAATTACTCTTTTATTTTATATGCAATAGGGTTTTTCTAACTCTTTGTCCTTTAATAATCTTACTCTAAGCGTGATGTATCATTCAGTTGTTCTCTATGTAGCAGCATTCGGGTAACCTTCCTACAATTACTCCTGTCAGCTTTAATTTCTCTTAAAAAGAACAGGCAGTGAGTAGTGAGAAATAATTGATATATGACAAGTGTCATGGTTCCGATTACAAATGGTATCTGGAAATATTCCCCTCACCTCTACTTTTTTCTCTGTTTCTTCCCCAAAGAAAAGTATTGAAATAGCATCCAAGAGATTACTCCCTTAGTATTTCCACCCTGGCCAAATCCTTTGGTATCTACATCAAGATGTATTTTGACTTTGCATTCTTGAATACTTGCGTGAAGGGCATTTCTAAAACATTAAGCGTGCATGAGGATTATTTGTCGGAAGGGCACATCCGAGAGAAATTACGCCAGCCATTCTGTCACTCGCCTCAAACTTGAGCATGCAAAATAGAGACAGACAACTGTGCCCAGTACTCTGCTGTAGGGAGGGAATGGCAGAAGATTCAGTGGGGAGAAGCAGGTTTGCTGCAGTGTTCTCTCTGGCCACGCTGTTCTCCGAGGTTTTACTCTCTTGTATGAAGAGCTTCTGCGGAATTTTATAAAACAGGATTACTTTCTTTTTTTTGGTAAAGTTTTCAGGTCATATTGCAGAATGCAATAGAAAATCTTATTCTTATCATATACATCTTTATAGATTTCTTCACAGCCATATAGAAATACTTTAACTGGCTGTTAAATTGACTTCCTTTTTAAAGTCAAGTCTTTAGGAATACAATGAATTTCTCTAGGACTTTTTAGGGGAGTGGGAGTGGGTGGGTTTGGTGTTTGGTTATTTGGCCAGTTGCAACCAGGGAAGAATGCCAGATCTTGAATAGCACTTTCTAGTTCTTGACCTTCCTCTCTTGCTTGAAGTCCCAGGAAATGCTAAGCAGATTTACTGAGAGATTTAACTAAGGATTTGTGATGGCTGACCAGTTCTGGACTAAGGAGCCAAGAGTTTGGATTTAGCGATGGTTTTGTACAAGGCTGTCAAGTTAGACATCTAACATAGAAGTGCAATAAATGTACAGTGAAACCTGCAAATGCTGGAAATATTTGCTGACATAATTTCTGCACAGAGGTCAGTAATTTTTTTTCAGGCTAGTTTCTCATATGTCACCCTGGTTTAATTCAGCACTCTATTTTGAAACTTGTCCTGACAAGATCATATTGAGATGGTGAGAGAGGATAATCGTATTCAAATTCTGTCTGTAAAATATTTGATTTAATTTACCTCTAAATTGCAATTGACAAGTCTAGAGGTGGGTGACATAGCTCCCGAAAAATGTTCATTTAGCTGAGAATGCACCCAGGGAATTAAGTGTAGTCACAAATTGAGATCGGATTGGATTAAAAGCCTGAACATAAATTTTGCAAGATAATCTTCTATTGCAGATTTACTGAAGCTTTGTTTTGGTTATTCAGAAATGCATTTTTTGATACGTGTATTTAAGAGAGAGTTTGTTTGAAAATTATCTTGTAGAAAGGGAGAAGTCTACCCAAAGTTTATTATTGTTTACAGTTCTGGAAGTTGTAGCCTTTCTATATCTGGTCAGCCCAGAGTGATTAAGAGTTTTTTTAGAGCCATAATATTTTGAAGTCTTTGGTATTTCATTTGCTAGTTTCTGTAAAATTTAGACAATTAAAATATTTTTGTTGTCTTTCTTGTAAGAGAATATCACCATTACAGGGTGCATATACCACAACAATGAGATGCACCACTGAATGCAACCCACTTGCCATTGAATTTGGTCTGATGTCTATAATGATATTTAGTAATTGCTACCAATTATTCTTCTATTGATTGCTTTTTTGCTTCTATAATCTAGATTGCATTTTTTGTTTCTAAATAATCAAAAGGCTACCCTTCTTTCCTCTCCTTTCTTCTCTTCCTCCTCTCCTCATTTCTCCTTTGTTTTCTTTCAAGACCAGTTGGTGGAATATCTAAAGAATTAAACATGCTTTTAATTCTTTCTTAGAAAAATAAGATGACCCAGTAGTTCGGGAATGTTGCTTTTGTTAACAGTTTCTCTTTTTATCTGCTGCTTATTACAACTTTGCCTAATGCAAACAGTAATTTAGAGAGAAAACATAAAAAATGGGTAATTTAAGAGACTTCCTGAATTTTTTTAAGTCAGCGAAGGGCAAAAGCAGTTGTTCCTGGTGCCAGTTGTCCCTTCTTTACCAGCAACATGCATTTAGAAATGATTAGTAGTTCTGTGGCAGGCCCATTTGTAACTCAGACATAGATTGTTTATATGCTTCCAAGGAGATAGGTACTACTTAGTTGTGCTCCATAATCCTCAGTGTCTAGGGCTGATGTATTTTATACCTAGACAAATAACTTCTCTTTACTGTGAGAGGCAATTTCCAGTTCTGTCCAGATAAGCAGTAGTACCCTCATATGTAAACCACCCACAAAGTCATTTACTACATATATTTAGCATGCACGTAAGTTAAATATTGGCACTTTGCGTGCTTATTTTCAACAAAAGCTTAGTTTAGCAAAAAAGATAACTAACCAATAAGTGAAAAGGTGCGAACCAATGAGTTAAATATTCTTCAAAACACAAGACTCTGTCATTGTGGGCAACATTTTGAAAAGGCACCTTAGTGGCTCAAAACCCAAAGACCAGTTTAAATGGTTGGATTTTGAGCTTATAAAGCACATAGTAATATTTTTAACTAATGACCTATGAAATCACTGTTACTGAAATCAGGATTTTATGAGGGACTGGTTTTACTCTTAATAAGGGCCGTGGTTTGGTTAAAATAGAATCATCACTGTACCTTTTCTCAGAGATGAATTTTCTTAGTTTTCATTTTGGCTTTGA